AGGGATGGGTTTCCTGGAAAACAGTTTTTCCATGGACTGGGAGGGTGGGGGGGTTGGGGGGTAGAAGGGGGTGTTTCCACCTCAGACCATAAGTCAGTGGATTCTCCTGGGGAGTGCATGCCAAACTGGATCCCTCCCATGTGCAGTTTGCAGTGGGGTTCCAGCTCCTATGAGGGTCTCATGCCCCTGCTGATCTGACTGTGGGGGGAGGTAGGGCTCAGACTGTGATGGGAGCTATGGGGAGCAGCTGTGGGTACAGATGGGGCTTTACTTCCTGCCTCAGCCACTCACCTCCTGCTGTGCCACCCAGTTCCAGGCAGCCCAGGGGTGGGGCCTTCAGATATAAGAGACGAATAGCATAACAAAAGACTAGTTTAAGCTAAAGACCTCCTTTCAGGACTCAAATTCCTTTCTGTCACCTCAATAAAGAACAAACAACCACTATGACCGGGAATTTGATACCTTCATTTCTGTTGCCTTATTGGTCCCTTTTAGAAGTTACCAGGCATTTTCTTTTCTTTTTTTTTCTTTCTTTTTTTTTTGTTAATTCAGGATATTATGGGGGTGCCAATATTTCGGTTACATATAATGCCTTTACCTCTTTGCCTCACCCAAGCCAGGGCTACAAGAATGTCCTTCCCCCATACAGTGAGCTCCTCTTCCACTAGTTGTGAGTATAATCCCCTATCCCTCCACCCGGCCAGCACCTAATGAGTATTACTACCATGTGAACACCTTAATGTTGATCAGTTAGTACCAATTTGATGGTGAGTATATGTGATGCATGTTTTTGATCCTTGTGATATCTCACTTCGAAGGATGGGCTCAATCTCTATCCAGAATAATACAAGAGGTGCTAGTTCACCATTGATTTTTGTAGTTCGGTAGTATTCCATGGTACACATATACCACATTTTATTAATCCACTCATGTATTGATGGGCACTTGGGTTGTTTTCACATCTTTGCAATTGTGAATTCTGCTGCCATAAACATTTGAGTGCAGATGTCTATATTACAGAATGTCTTTTTTTTTTTCCTTTGGATAGATGTGTATCTGGGATTGCTGGATCAAATGGTAGTTCTACTTGTAGCTCTTTGAGGTATCTCCAAATTACTTTCCACAGGGGTTGTACAAATTTGCAGTCCCACCATTAGTGTAAGGGTATTCCAATCTCTCCACATCTGTGCCAGCATTTGTTGTTTTTGGACTTTGTGATAAAAGCCATTCCCACTAGAGTTAAGTGATATCTCATTTTGGTTTTGATTTGTATTTCCCTAATGATTAGAGATGTTGAGCACTTTTTTATATGCTTGCTGGCCATTAGTCTGTCTTCTTCTGAAAAGTTTCTGTTCATGTCCTTTATCCATTTATTAATGGGGTTGTTTGATTTTTTCTTGTTGATTTTCTTAAGTTCTATAT